GATACATAAAATGTTTTCTACCAGTTTTCTACCAGAGAATTCTATAAAACGCAATATGTAATTTGACATGAGACAGATTTCTCCTGTGATATGCAAATCTACTTTGAGACACTTAAAAATGAAGTATAGAGACAAGTGTTGGAGAAACGTGAAAATGCTGAATTCTGTAATCATGGGGTACGAGCTGAACGCTGTCCCGCGCACGGCCATATGGAAGCGCGTGCAGCCCATATCTCCTGAAAATGAGCTAAAGTTTCTTTTCCTGCGGGGCTTGGATTGAGGTCTGGGGAAAATCAGAGCATGAAATTGCGATTAGCCCCTGTTGTTTCTGCAGACCAGGAATAGGCTACAGCACTTGGCATGGCCGAAGGTGTAACCTGTTTTGTTTGGCCTTGCTGAAGCCCTCCCAGATGGTGCTCGCAGCTGCCACTGAGCAAACGCAAGCAGGGCGAGCGCTGGGAGAGGTGGCCAGGACCTGTGTACATTCAGCAGGAAAAACAACAAATCAACCATGGAAAGAGACTCGTGTAGACTGATTCTTGTAGCTACCCGTGTACCTGTGGAAAGTGATTGACCTATTTCAGCTTGAATCCTTAGATTCTCTATATGCTAAGCTTTTCCTGTTCATCAGAATCTAAATTCTGGCATCATATAAATAAATAAAAAGATCCGAGAGTACCGTTCAAAAGTTTGATCTCTGAAGGATCATGTGACACTGAAGACTGGAGTTATGGATTTTGAACACTGGAATACATTACATTTTTAAATATAGTACAACAGAAACCAATTCATTTCAATTGTAATAGTATTTCATAGTATATCTGTTTTTACTGTATTTTTTATCAAATAAATTCAGCCTTGGTGGGATTAAGAGACTTATTTCAAAAACAATAAACCTTAATGTTTCCAAACTTGAGCGGTACTGTAAAGAAAAAGTGGTTGGATCAATTATTTTAGTATCAAAGATATTATTATATTATTTAAGGATACTATTGTAGTTAATATTTTGCATTGGTTTTCATTTTAATTTTACTTAAAGGTTAAGTCATTTTGTTTAGTTTTAGTTATGCAAGTCCATCAAGTTAAACTAAATGCAATTAAGAAATGTTTCTTTGGCAACTAAATGAAAAAAAAATTGAAGTTTTGTTAAAATTATTAATATATTTATTGTTATTTTTTGTTTTGAGTAACGGAACATTTCTTTATGTTGTTAGGTTTCGTTTTAGCCTACTTATACTAACCTATACTTAACTGTAATAACCTAGCCTGGGTTGGATAACTAATATGATATAATATAATCACTTCAATACAACCACTAAAATGCTACCCTAAAGGGTCGTACACACCGGGACGAATATCGGCGCGCGTTATTCGCCAGCATTTTTCATCGCGTTTTTTGTGTTCACACCCAAGCGATTTTCGCTGACGATGAGCCGAGTGAACATGCCAATTCATTCCCTGACATTAGATGGCGCTTAATGTAAAACAGAAATAGTCCTATGTTGTAGTCGCTGTCGCGTTTGTCATATAGTTCTTTATGTTCAGACACCAACGAGACCAGCAGCTCTACATTCATCTTGCCTCGCATCTTCCTCGTCTTATTTCTCCTCGGCAGTGTAGACGCTACTTGGCGTATATCTTCTTCGCCGTTACGTATGTGTGCTCGGCAAGACCATTTTGTGTTTGAGCGCCCCCAAGTTGTGTTTTACTGTAACTTCAGAAGCTCCAGACACGTGAGCAAAAGCGCCAATCTCATTGGTCGGATAGTTTTTGACGCGGCGCGTCAAACCCAAAAAACGAACCCGAGGCGTTTTTTAAAAAATGATGCTTTTACGTGTGGCGTTTTTCGTGTCGGTGTGGCGCCGTTTGTTTAGTCACGAGGCGTTAAACGTCGCCGAATATCGCGCGCGAAATTCGTCCCGGTGTGAACAGGCCTTAAGGCTGTGTGTCCACCAAAGCATTTTTTTTTTAGGCCAGCATTTTTTTTTTATTTTTTTTTTAAGAAAAATTGGCAGCAACGCAACGAGACTTTGAATAAAAATCAGAGCTCATCACTGTCACTTTTTACCCAGCCGTCCAATCACAGTGGAGGAGGGGCGGGGCAAATACCAAAGCGACCAACCACCACATCCTGCTTGTATAACATCAACAGAGACAACAACAATGGAACAAAGTCACTTAAAACAAGGGCCAGAGCAAGCACTTTACATTCTGTCGACATTTTATATTCAGAAATAAGCTATCTGTGAAATCAGATTCACTTCTGCAGATATTCCATATCATAGCAACCAAACGTCTGAAAAAAAACGCTGTGCCGCTGAAACGCTCTCAAGCGCCCACAGCTAGCCGTTTTCAGCTGGCTAAAATCGTTTTGGTGGACACATGGGCTAAATGCACTAAAATGCTAAACTAAACTCGATCTCTTTAGTATCCTCAATCGTTACTCTAACAGATGAAATGAAAATCAAATGAAGTCTATTGCTTAAGACTCCTGATTCACCAATCAAAATATTTGTAAAATATCAAATTCTTCCAAGAACTAATGATCTGAGCTGCTTTCTAAATTTACTTTATAGCTCTATTATTGTATGTATTATTGACTATTGACACATTTGAGTCTATATGCATTTTCATCTATGCATTTCAGGGGAAACATGTGAGATAAAGTTGATCCTGAAGCACAGCTAAAAGCTCAATTAAAGGTAGGGCAGGCAATATTTTTTATAAACACTTTTTGTTATTCTGGTTGAAACTCCAGCCAGTCTTCACATCCTGATAGCAATCAATAATAGAAGTGGTCTAAATACTAAAACATGTATCTTCTGTGGAAGTCACATGACCAAAAAATGTTCGTTCAATACGATACGATGTCCTCCCTGCCTGTCAGCGTATGCATTTCCACACCTCCACACACACATGCTCTCGCAGACATCACACGTCATCAGAGCGTTTCATGCTGTGCAGAGTTAGACAGACGTCAGTCACTGAGAGCCACAAACGAAACCGCAGCCGTCTTTTACAGTTCCTCCTGAACCAAAACAACCAGCTTACGTAACCGTAATTATGACATGGCTACCCGTGATGTTCTACCTGGAGCTGTTTATGCATTTCTGTGTAAACACTATCAATGGTGAAATAAATCTGCAGAAGTCAGGTCGTAGAACTAGCATACTGCAAGTTGTTTATGTTCATTTTTATTGTAATGTTATGTGCTTTGAGACACTAGGTAATTTAACACCGTCTCTCGTCTCATCTTGTGTTCATGGAGGAGGAGGCGTGGCTTTGAAGACGCTCTGAAGGGAGGGTGGGATCTTATGCTTTCAAAGCTAGCTTGCTATTGCTAGCCTCTCCAAAATTGCCTACCCTACCTTTAAGTCTCTTGAGCTTTGAGCAACACTCTCTCCTCTAGGATTTGTGGATTTTGCAGCTCTATTTTCCATAATTCAATGGTTAAAACATTACCTCTAATTCCATTTGGCCTACCATTGTTTAATATTAATTTGCCTGCGAAATGATTTGTTGATATGAGTTTATAGTGAAATCTGAATCCTAATTATCTCGCTCTCTGCACTCAAACTGAAGCGTTTGATTAATTCGGCAAACAAAAAGAGCCACAATTGTCCCAAGGACCAACATCTGCACAGAACTTCAAACCCCGTCAGACTGAATCTAAAATTAGTACCTAAATATCCATGAACTATATGTTCAGCCCCTCCGTATAATCCGAAACCTCTGATCCCGCTCGAGGAAGCCAGACGTGACCCCAACAATTACCGCGGGAACCGAGCGGGTCAGAGTTGCGTTGCCACACACAGCGGCGAGCGGCTGGTTAAGGGACGACCTCTCCCTCATCTCCTGACCCGAGGCCCGTTCAGCGCAGCGCTCCTTTTAAACGCGTAGCCCGAGCACAGGCAACAGTATCGGGTTTCAGGGGAAAATGTTGGAAATTAGCAAGAGCAGAGTCAGGCTACACCGCGTCGAGGGCAGAACACAATGGCAGCTTTCTGTCAGGGAGAAACTTCAAAGGCCCGCTGAGTGACTACTCTGAGTTGGACTTTGTTGTAGATCACTGAGGAAATTCACAGATGTTTTCTCATACGAGACACCATTACAGAGGCTCTCGTACCCGGTAGCCCTGAGCATTTCTCTGCCTTTCCATCTCTCCTGCTCTTGTGTGTGAGACAGATGTGGAGACCCTTTTTTCTTTTTTTAGACTTTTTTTCTCCCTTATTTTCTTCTGCTGTCTGTCCAAAGAACATGAAAAGCTAGACACGGCCCTGACCTGTCCGAAGAAGACCTACAAATGCAGAAACTCACGGTTGACAGTTTTATCAAAACCCCGCAGACAGCGCCGTGATCTTGACCGAAGTGTGTCACCAGAGAACTCCTGATATTGTACAATATTTACATATGATTTGATTAAGATCTCCCATTAACCCTTTAAAGCCTACTGTTTCTTTGGTCACTAAATTATTAACATGATAAAAACTTGGCTGAAAAAACCTGTTGCACACAATCTTCTGCATGCCTTCTGTCATCTGATCGTTATATACTTTTTATCAAGTAAAAGACCGTAAAGAATAATTCTATAAGTCTCCCCCTTCACATTGTTATCAAGTACTCAAAGAATAACTGGTAACACCTTATATATATATATATATTATCCGTACATGTTATTGAGAGTTGAGATTGCTGATATGTATATGCATTTTATGTATGTCGTCTGCTATAAAGATCTCATTGATTTACATTACAAGCTATCAGAACTTCATCTTTGTTTTTGGCCATATAACTTCACCAAATTGCATATTTTTACTCTGTTTGGAAATATAATGGTTATAATATAATGGTTAAATATAGGTTCGATAAGCTATTCCATTTTTATAAAATTAGATTTATCGCATTATTATTTAATATCAAGCTTTACAGGATTAAATGCGTGCATTTATGTTTTATGTAACTGCTAAAACTAATCACCCTCTTTCTTTCTTCTTTTACAGATTGCCTTTCCCAGTGTTTTGCCACGAAATGTGCTGTACATATAAAATAATGAGGAGCGATTATTTATGTATGCATTATTTTCTCAGTATTTGGATTTGCGTATTTATTATGAAAGGCAAACGTGCTATTTATCCGTTTTCTTAGAATAAAAATGAAAAACACATATTATGGTTAATTGAATAAGGACTCTCAAAGGCAGCCTGTCGAACTGTTAACATTTACAATAATTTGTTGCCAAACAACGTGATTAGATGAGCGATGGCTGACTCACTGTGCTGCTTTTCTTTCTTTCTTTCTTTTTTAAGACGGTTTGGTCTGAGATGTTTATGAGCGACTGGCCATAAAGCAAAGTGTGTACATCCTTGTTCTCTGCATCACTCGTTGTTCTGTGGATATAAAACTCCCTTTTCTGGTAATAGATTCATTCCAACTATACAGTACAGTTCACACTTCTGTGAATGGTGTTCTCAATCCAATCTCACCAGCGGTTTTGTATCCTAATTTGTCTGAGAAATAAAGTCAACAAAACAAGTTTTGTCATATATCGTGTGCTGCTACTTTTAAAACTCTTTGTAAAATCTGAATTAAGCTTGCCAAAATGTGTGGTCGTTATTAACCTGTCTGGACCCAGAAATATAGATATTTGGTTAAAACAGTGACTGTTAAGAAGAATAAACAGAATTGTGTCCCCTTGAGATTCTCTGAGGACTTCAGGAAAACTGAGACCTCCTCCCTGTGGGATTCCCCCTCCTTCCCCCGTTACTATGTGAGAAACCTTAATCCCATCAAAAGAGCTGATCTGCTTCAACATCAAGCACTCCAAACTGCTGGAAAGGGACAGTTTAAAAAGTCATAGATTAGAGGCATCTCTCTGTGGGAGTTTGCTTGTCTTGTTTTTATTTAGTCTACTGCTCACATTCGAAGCTGCACTCGCTAATATGACAGTTTGCTCGCCTGCAAAACTTAGAAACTACGAAACTTTGAAGCAATTTTAATGTGAGCACTCATTTACGATGCTCGATTCCTGTAATATTTGTGGAGGCGTCACGTGTGTCGGAGACTGGGTTGCAGTGAAAGCTTGACTGGATCGGGGCGGAGAAGAGGGAGGAGAACTGGAAAATGTTCAGACTTTCTCAAAGACTGGATCTCCTCCTCTCGCCAGCCTGCAAATCACACAACTAAGACATCATCATCATCATCATCATCATCATCACCGTGACATCTCCACACCTTGATGGGTCCACGTTGACTTGCACAGGGTGTCGTGGGACTGTTCTTTACTAAATCATTTGTCTTTTCAACTATGAGAACAATAAGCAAGCGCTTGTTCTTTTTGTTGTGTAGTCACAATCAATTAGTGCATGTGATTCGAGAGCCGTTCTGTTGACAAACCTAATCTTATTTTGTATTATTTGTTAAAAAACCTCTGTGGGAAAATGTGTCATCTGTCGATCCACGTCATGTGTTTAAGACATATTTGGTAACACTTTACAATAAGGTTTCGTTTGTTAACATTAGTGAATGTATTAACTAAAATGAAGTAACCATGAGCAACACATTTGTTACTGTATTTGTTCATATTTGTTAACGTTATTAACAATTACATATCCAGCGTTTCATTGTTTGTTCATGTACTTTACAGTGCATTAACTAATGTTAACAAATACAACTTTTGATATTAATAATGTATCCGTAAATTTTTTAATTAACATTGACAAATATTAATAAATGCTAGAAGTGCAGGTCATTATTATGCATGTTAACTAATGAAACCTTATTGTAAAGTGTTACCACATATTGCATGTTGGGTTATTTGTAATTCAATTAAAATGTTAGGTAACAGTTTAGTTTAGGGTCTAATGCTATTGCTTATTAGCATCATATTACTAGGATTTATTAGTACTTATAAAGCACATATTAATGCCTAATTCAGCATGGCTGTATTTTACATCCCTTAATCCTAACTATTTACTATAGTACTTAACTATTAACTACAATTTACCTTAACTAATAAGCAGTTTAGTGAGGCAAAGTCGTAGTTGGACCCTAATCTTAAGTGTGAGCAAATTGTATTGCTGCATTTATTCTCACATGCAGGACAACTTGCGATTTCTAATTGTTAAATCACTAGATTCTATTTGAACAATTCTATTTTAAAAGACGCCATTGCAAACTTATCTAGGCTACATTGTGTGTATAATAGGCTAACTGACTGATATGGCGTGTTCACTGTGATTTTTGGAGTCCGACTCATTGTAAGTGCAACTAATTTAGCCGTTAATCGTAAATTAAATGTTAAACTATGTGTGAACTTTATACTGAGTCAAATGGTTCCTTCCTCTTGAAGTTATCTCATAAGCCCGCGCGAGATCTCTGGAGATAACACACAGTCGCATTGTCGCACAACAAATCCTTAATTACAGAGAGGGGGATCGGGTGACTCCGGCATCCAATAGCGGGGGTCTCCAGGCGGCGAGGGGGTCTTTGATCAAGAAAATCCAATTATTTGTGTATATACATTTCCCACATAGTGATTACTTCATTAATTGTCCCGCCTTTATCCCCACCCGTCCCATCCCCCACTAATAATCAGCCCTTTTATCCAGACCAACAAACACACCATAGGAGCTTTGTGTGGATTCAGAGGATTTGCTTCCCCCTCTCAAAGAGCCGCTCTTCTTTGATGATTGGGCAGCGGCGAACTTCAAAGTCATAAATCTCACTCCTGACTGGCTGGCGGCCCACCAAAGTCCTTATCAAATCCAAAGAAGTGATCCTTCACTCCCTCAGATAGTCCAGGGATAGCTGGAGGAGAGGACGCGACGCCACCGCACACAGCACGCACTACACGCTCAAGTCTTTTTTATTTTGAAGGTTTGAATTTGGCTGCTTTAAATCGAGAAGCTTGAGGAACTCGAGGAAGTGTTGCCATGGCAGCTGTGGCTGTGCTGAGGAACGACACACTACAGGCATTTCTGCAGGTTCGTCAAAACTTTCAAAACTCAGATATTGTTGAAAATGTCGTTCGTAAAGCGCGACGCAAAGAAACGATGCTTATTTGACTTATTTGAGTGTCTCTGAACTACGCAAACTACTGCCGATAACGAGACGTTATTACTTTATTCCGCGAGTTCAGATTTATCATTAAGCAGCAAACGTGTGCACGTAAGAATGATAGGAATGCCTTTTCCATCCATTTAATTAGTTATCATTGGTATCATTTAATTAAATAGAGTTTTCAGTTCGATTTAACAGTTTTTACTGTAAAAGGTCTTACTTTACAGAACTTACAGTTCGATTTTAATCATCGCTAATTATATTCAGTGGTTCAAAAAGTGCAATAAACTTGCTACTGTAGTTGAACTCTTTCATTTTGAATGCAATTAAACTTCAATTTAGTTCGATAATTTAATCATCTTTTTTTAATCGTATAATAACTGACTGTCATTGCTTGTTCACTGTTATTTTTGGAGCAAGCCAACAAGTAAAACTCATTGTAAGTGTAACTAACTTAGCCATTAATCGTAACTGTATTGCCAAACCATGTGTGAACTTTAGCTATACTGAGTCAAATGGTTACTTGAAATCGATTGCAAACATATTTCACCAATGCAGCTAAAGTTATGCAAATTGAAATGAAATGTCTGTCCGTAATAGTTTCGTTGGCTCGTTTTGAAATTGTATCTGCATATTGCATTTATTTATTCCTTCATCCTTCACGAGTATTTATAATTCCTTCATAAATCCTGTGAAATAAAGTAGCCCACATTTGGCATGAGAATTTTGTTGAGCAAAACGTGTGTGGAAATCTTTCCCCCGAAAAGTGTTTTTTTAAACTATGTGTAAATATTTAAACATGACTCTTTCTCACTACCCAGGATCGCACGCCAAACTCCTCGCCGGAAAACAGCAAACATTCTCCTCTGGCACTTTTAGCGGCGACGTGTAACCGGATCGGTCATCATCACGGATCCGCCCACACGGACTTTATTCAAGTTCCCTACGACACGACCCTCGGGTCGCCGTCACGGATTTTCCACCCGTGGAGTAACGAGGCGAATCCCCAATCCACGCTTTCCGGCAATACCTCTTTTGGACTATCCTCCAAATCTCACCTGCAGGGCTCCTACGCCTCCCACCATGAGCTCCCGTTAACCCCCCCGGCCGATCCCACGTATCCATATGATTTCTCTCCGGTTAAGATGTTGCCATGTTCAATGCAGTCGTTACAGTCGAGCTGTCCGCCGACCTACGTTCCCGCCGTCACCTACGCGGCGCCGGCACCCATCCCAACCTCCATTCCCGGTTTTGTCCCGGGACACTCGGGCCTGGTCCATCAGCAGCCGAGACAGCTCTCTCCAAACCCGGGCGAGGATATACCGTGGTGGAGCCTTCAGCAGGGAAACCACGTCAGCCACCCGTCGCCCCTCGGCCCCCACCGCTTCCCGATCCAGAGGGGTTTGGTCTTGGGACACACGGACTTTGCCCAGTACCAGACCCAGATCGCAGCCCTTCTCCACACCAAATCCCCCTTGGCCACGGCCCGGCGCTGCCGGAGATGCCGGTGTCCCAACTGTCAGTCGTCCAGCTCCAGCGACGAGCCCGGCAAAAAGAAGCAGCACATCTGTCACATCCCCGGATGCGGGAAAGTATACGGGAAAACGTCCCACCTGAAGGCGCACCTGCGCTGGCACTCGGGAGAGAGACCCTTCGTGTGTAACTGGCTCTTCTGCGGGAAGAGTTTCACCAGATCGGATGAGTTACAGAGGCACCTGAGGACTCACACGGGGGAGAAACGCTTCGTGTGTCCGGACTGCTGCAAGAGGTTCATGAGGAGCGACCATTTGGCCAAACACGTGAAGACGCACCAGAACAAGAAGAGCAAAAGTCACGAAAAGACTGATTACGTGAAAAGAGAAGACCTGAGACCTGTGTAGTTGACTCGGATGAACATAGACTAGTGCAATATAATCTTCAGGATCCCGGTGAAGTGAAAAAGAAGCTTTTATTTTTTCATTAAAAAAGGGTTCACGAGACTTACTTAGACTGGGAGTCTTTTTTTCTTTTCTTTTCTTGGACTTGTAAATATCATTTTCGAGTCGTTCCTGAAGGAACCCTGGATAACGTGTCCTGTCCCCTGAGCTACTCAAAACATTAACAAGTTTTAACTTGTGTTAAGATCTCTGTCTTCGGTGGAAGATTTCTTTATCCTGTAAATATATTGATAGCTTTTGTTGAATGAAAGTGTCAGTTTTTCGCTCCTTGTGGGGTGTTTTAGCATGCTGTTAAAAACCATCTGTTAAACTTCCAAAAATGTGTGAAAATAAAGAAAATGTCTTGTACATGCCATCGAAACATAAGACGGGGAGGTGGAGTTGTTATTAAAAGTGCAGAGATTTATTTTTTGAAGAGGAAAAATGCGAGTTAAATGGATGTCTAAGTTTTATAGCGTGCGCGAGTGTGTGTGAAACGCCTAACAGAGAAACAGTGAAACTCTGTGATCGAGAATCAAGCACTGTGAGATTCATCACTTGTTAGGATACGGAGAGTTCAAAGGACGGCATTATGATTTGAAGTTAGCCGAAATGACAATAAAGCAAACACTAACTGACGTCAGCTGTATTTCTCTGTTTTCCGTGTCACTCGTGAGCATTTTACGGTGTTTGATATGTAAAACATATAAGCACAAGCCCTCGAGCTATCACAGAAATGCTCTTGAAGTGTTTTACGCTGCATCGAAATCTCAGAATCGCATCAACGGAAAGATTACGTGACGAACTGTACGGCAGATGTGTTACTAAGTTCACTTAATACCATCTATGGTATTAATTATAAACTATACACAAATCTGCTCCATGTAGATACAACATATTCAGATGCACTGCAATAGCAAATCTAATATCAGTGCAGATTTTGATGTGATCATAATGCTGTTTTAATATCAAATCAAGTCCATTTTAACCTCAATCTCAATACTTTTTGATTTTCACAAAGTGGTTTCTGGCAGTTAACTCTAAACAGAAGGAGAATGATGGTAATAATTCATTATGTGTCTGAATTGTACTGAAAATTTTGCATGGAGAAAGACACAGTTGCACAGAAAGCCCACAAACATTTGGGGAAAAAAGTAAACATTTGGTCATTAACTGAGTTTTTCGTACAATTTTGATTATCTTTCAACGTTTCACACATGACGACGTCTAAAACCAGCATTGGAATATATGAAGGAAGCGTTTATTAATGATATTTGGAAGGGGCTTTTTGGCACCCAGAAAGAGCATGTCTTTGCTTCTCCAGCAACAGCGCCTCTGTTGGTAAAAGCCTGGCACAAACCACTAAACGCTTCTCTAATGTTTGCCCACTTGTGTTTAGAGGATCTAGCTATAACTCAGATGTGTTCAACTAACACAGTCTCATCCCAAGACGTCATATGACTGACGCTTTTGACCATACGTCAACATCCGACGTTTTAGGGTACCCTTTAACGTCAGTTAGATGACGATCCTAGGGCGTCATCTAACTGACGCTTTACCTTTAGCGTCAGTTAGCTGACGCGGGTAGGTTTAGGTCTGGGGTAGGGTTATGATTAGATAGCGTCATCTAACTGACGTTAAAGGGTACCCTAAAACCTCGTATGTTGACGTATGGTCAAAAGCATCAGTCATATACGGTATAGTTGTCTCTTCTGCTTTAGAAGTGAAAATATGAGTGCCATGCTGCTTTAACGATTTGAATTGTAAATGTAATTGTTACAGTTCTGCATAAATTGTAAAAGGTTTTAATATCCCACCTATTTTTGTTTATTAAAATCTCATTTTATTCGGATTCATAAAGCCACTTTCTCTTTGAGGACATACACTGATTATTGGTGAAGATTGTGTTTGAGTTTCTGACACTTGGGTGTTTTGTAACGTGTTCCTCAAATGTATTTCTGTATTCGGAGGGGGGGTTATTAATAATAACATATTATTATTATGTTTTCTCTTAAAACCACTCCATGAAAGCCATAATTATAGTTTCCAAACTCACAGTACTACTTATAAAAAGTGTTTTCATGCATTTTGTTTCTATATGTTATCAGAAAAATCTTGTGTCTGAGCCGGTTTAGTTAAACACAATCATTTTCTGGATCTTCGTACATAAACATGATTGAGCTCAAAATTTTTACAACCACATTCTAAATTATGTAAAGAAGAAAAGCCCTATTTGTATTTTTTATTTATTTACCTCTATTATAATTTAACTCTAAAAAAATAAGTTAAGCAATTTTCAAGTTATATTATACAAGATTCAACTCATTTTTTTTAAGTCAGTTTAATGTATTTTTAAGTTGAAATGACTTAAACATCTAAGTTGATTGTAGGCTACTTAAAAATTTCTATTATAATGAATACTTATATTTGTCAACATGAAAATGCTTTTTGTTGTTGTTGTACATGCAAAACAAGAGGACAAATGATTCAGACATTCTTAGTTGTCTCTTCACATTCATGCTTGTAGCAAGTGCTTTCGTTCCAGAGTGACACAGAAATACGTGTTAAAGTTAGGCTTTAAAGGAATAGTTCACCCAAAAATGAAAATTCTGTTCGGTCTAACATTTGCTTGTTTACTTTAGAGTATTAAATGTGGGAAATGAACAGAACAGAATGGAAGAGTAACTAAACAGTTGATGGACCCATTTCCCCATTGTATGGAAGTCAATGGGGTCCAACTGTATACCCATTTTCTTCAAATCAGCAGAAGAAAGATATTCATACAGGTTTGAAACAGTAAAAGATGGCAGAATTTTCATTTCTGAAATATAAATAGCCCATAGAAATAACTGTATTTGGTTATAATGGTCAGGTAATCATGTTGTTACTAAATTCACACATTTCCAAGATGAAACTTAAAAAAATAAGACAAAAGAAAGCAGAGTATTTATAATGGACCCTTTTCACAGATGATGATGATGATGCATTTACACAGTTATCAACATTGCAAATCGAGTAAAGTCATATATATATATATATATATATATATATATATATATATATATATTAATAAACATGTATAACACTATATATTGTGTTGTATTACCTTGTAAACGACAGGAAAACGAATAAAACGCTGCTGTGATGTTTCTAATACAACGACTGAGGGAGTGATGACAAATTTGGCATCTTTCTCTCTTCTGACCAACACAATCAATCTGTCTTTCGGCAAAAAAAAAAAAAAAATTGCCGTCATCTCTTTTTCATTGCCTAAGACGTTTACGCAGCTTTGACGACTTCCGCTTCTGAGATCCCTGGAAATCTTCATTCACAAAATAACACATAAAGTGCTTGAGTGGATGTGTCAGTTCTGTTTTGACTGGTGTCATGCTATAGAACGAATAATAACTCAAATGATGGAAAATGTCCCATTATGAAGTGAAAACCTGAAGGATCTGCACCGACCGAGTGCCGTTCCCACGGGGCAGAGCGGGCTGTTCCTCTCCTTCAGAGAGGGAGATATGGTCAGGCTATCACAACAGCACATGTGTGTTTGCTGCAGGGAGTGTGTGTTTAAGCCTCAGCGTGACCTGATCTGAATGCCACACTCTGATCTGCCTTTGATGTGAGTCTGTCGAGAGTCTGGCAGAATCAGCCATTTAGACACACATACTTAAGCATGCATACTTCAAATCTAACATGTGCTTGTTTATTTTAGAGTATTAAATGTGGGGGGGAATAAATAAATAAAGAATACACCCAGGCCTAGCTGAGCATCAAAGGTTGTTTGGGGTGTGTAAGAGCATCACTTACGTCTTGAGAACGGACTGGAGTGACTCTTTGCGTCAAGAGATTAATGCATTTCTACATCTAACTCAACGTAATGCTTTTTCTTTCACTTTATTTTTATTTTCTTCAAAGGAACACATTCTGTAAATCACTGAGATACGAGATCCTGGGCTATATATTGTGACTTGACCGCCTAATTGTATTTCTAAAATGGTTACTACATATGAAATATTACATATAACATTTTATTAAGCTAATTGACTGAGCAGCATCCTTCCACTAAACGATAGCGTGTTTGTGCTTTAAAACAGTAAAAATCTGCTATAGGCAGTGTGCAGTGCTGTGAGAAAAATGAGTCATCTGTTCATTTAAAAAAAACTATTGTAAACAGAGTTTGTCGGATAAATTAATAAACTTAATAAACTGCTATATTAGACTGAAACTGAAAAAATAAAACAAGTTGCCTTTGGAAAGTAAACAAGAAACCAACAAAATTGTTAATGTAATACTTTTATATACACACATATATGTGTGTGTGTGTGTGTGTGTGTGTGTGTGTGTGTGTGTGTGTGTGTGTGTGTGTGTGTGTGTGTGTGTGTGTGTGTGTGTGTGTGTGTGTGTGTGTGTGTGTGTGTGTGTGTGTGTGTGTGTGTGTGTGTGTGTGTGTGTGTGTGTGTGTGTGTGTGTGTGTGTGTGAGTGAGTGTGTGTGTGTGTGTGTGTGTGTGTGTGTGTGTGTGTGTGTGTGTGTGTGTGTGTGTGTGTGTGTGTGTGTGTGTGTGTGTGTGTGTGTGTGTGTGTGTGTGTGTGTGTGTGTGTGTGTGTGTGTGTGTGTGTGTGTGTGTGTGTGTTTGTGTGTGTGTGTAGAAAATATATATATTTCACTGCAACACATACTGTATACATATACAGGTAAAACTCGAAAAATTAGAACATTGTGCAAAAGTTCATTTATTTCAGTAATTCAACTTAAAAGGTGAAACTAATATATTATATAGACTCATTACATGCAAAGTGAGATATTTCAAGCCTTTATTTGTTATCATTTTGATGATTATGGCTTACAGCTATGAAAACCTTTTCACTATATTCTAATTTTGAATTTGGGGTTTTCATAAGCTCTATATGGCATAAGCCATAATCATCAAAATGATAACAAATAAAGACTTGAAATATCTCACTTTGCATGTAATGAGTCTATATAATATATTAGTTTCACCTTTTAAGTTGAATTACTGAAATAAATGAACTTTTGCACGATATTCTTATTTTTCAAGTTTCACCTAGGCTATATATAGGCCTATATATTTATTTAATTTTTCAGTGAACATAACTGAACATTCTTTTTAGGCTATAAAATCTTTACACTGCCATTACTGCAGGGGTTTTCATTATCACTACTTCCCTGAAGCCTGTGAACACTTGAGCACATTGAGGAAAAATGGCTTAGTCTAAACTAAAGAACACTCTATGCTATAGCCTACAAACATAACTTCAAATATTATTTTTTTATTTGTTTGATTGATTGATTGATGGTTTTTGCATGATACATACTTAGTGTGTCTCAGGTTTTTTTATGTATATATAAATGCTGACATAATATTTGCATAGAAGAAGCAGGTGCCAATGATGACAGCTTTGCGGACAGCTGTTAATATACCAGCGCCATCTTGCGGCGACTTGTGGGACATTATCTTTCAGCAGCGCTAGGTATGATCCATATGCCCACATTTCTCTCTCTCTCTCTCTCTCTCTCTCTCTCTCTCTCTCTCTCTCTCTCTCTCTCTCTCTCTCTCTCTCTCTCTCTCTCTCTCTCTCTCTCTCTCTCTCTCTCTCTCACACACACACACACAAAATATCGTTTAATCACATCTATAGACCTGCAAAATCAAAACAAACAAAATAAAAGTACTATTCTTCGCTTTGTAATGACGCCACTGTTTACATTCTACGGAAAAATGTTTGATAGCAAACATATAGTTGCGCTGTTAAAAGATAAGGTTTTAAAATGACCAATAAGTGTTTGTCTTATCAAGAAAGAATGTTTAAATATATATATATTCCTTTGGACTGCAGGTCCTGCAGAACCCGAAACACTGTGTGGTTTTCCGAGGAACCAGCCAGAGATCGACGGAAAGTGATTCTTCATTGAAGAGGGTCCTTTGAGTTGAGGAACCACTGAAGACATGAATGTTTATGAAGAATGTGTGTGTTTAGTTGGAGTCGCTGTGCAGATGTGAGTGACGTAAAGAGGGAGCTGTCCAGCTGCTGAAACCTGCACAAACACTCGCATCATGCAACATGATCGGGTTTTATTCCTATACAGTCGATGCATTGCTGCGCGTAAATCACATAAAGATAGGGAAAATAATGCTTAAGGAAATCTAATCCGGTTCCTTGGAAATGCATGCGTGAACTACGAATATGTGAGTGAACCGCGGGAGTATAACTCCATTAATTGAACGCTTGCTGCCACCATGTGGAATCCCTCTTCAACATCAGTCTGAAAAGCATTTCATTTCGTTGCCAACATTCAGGACTAAAACTTCTGAGACATGAGCTTGTCCTTTCAAGGTTAAGAGGACGGCTTGTCCCATAAACATATAAACCTCCGAGCTCAATGCTAAAGTAGCCTATGGATATTCATAACAAACAACCAGTCCAAAAACAGGTGCTGAAACACACGAAAGAAACATGACATTTCGTGTTCTGCAAACACTGTCGTCCTTCATCTTTCAAGGTCAGAACGACACAGAGTCCTCTGAACAGGCTTACGATGTGTGGTGTGTGTGGCTGTTGTGTTCAACTTGAAAAAGTGTTTGTTCGTGACTTGCGTTCTCATTTAAGCGCAAAGTCCTGCGGGAACGCGTGCCAGAGCTGTCGTTACGCTCATGCCATGAGATGTGTTTCAGAGGCAGTGTGATGTCGTGCGGGTTCGAGGATTGCCAGCCGTGAGTCTGCGCACACACAGCAGCGAATAAACAGCAGCAGCAGCAGCAGCCTCGGAAAGGTCATCGCGATCCGTCAGTGAGGGTTTCGGCTGATTCTGGAGGAGTGTGTGAGGCGCGAGCACTGAGATTTTGGACACTGTTGCGATTCTCTCTAGACTCCTTCACCGGGTAAGCGGCTTCCTTTACTTTCAAATGTTTCTGTTGGTCATGTCAAAGTAAAACCGTGAATTATTCATCTAACAGGTGCTTCACACAGTCATGCGTTATTCAGTAAATCTCAGTGCCTTCAATCGGTAAAACTGTGTATTGGGAGTTCTCTGGAAATATTGCCTATTTGAACCCCATAATGGCAATCCATATCGCATAAGGACATAAAATCAGGTTTCTATTAATCTTCCAACAGTCATCAATTTCAATCATCCATACGTCATCTGAATTGAGAAATCAATGTGCACCATTTCTTAATCAATGCTTTTACATGTTTGGGGTATCAATCATGGCAATGTGTGATTCCTATTATTGGCATGATGATGAGCCAAATCCATTTCTGAGAAAGAAACTTTCAGAGCTCTGTTTCAGTTCGCAGGGGTTATTTCAATGCAGACGTCTTAAACTGATTTGACATATAGCCTACTGATCCACACTTAGGTCGCAAAACGCGGGTTTTGCAGTGATTATATAGAATAACCATTTTGGTTTCCCAAAAGAACTTTTCAGTGAACAGTTCTTAAAAGAACCCCTTTCCACTAGACATTTAGCAGACACTTAAACTATCATTGCATTTTAAG